ATGGTGCAACCAGAAAACTTTGTGTCGGGAGACCCAAAGAATATGGTCTGCAAATTAAGGAAATCCATCTATGGACTCAAGCAAGCTCCTCGTCAATGGTATCATAAGTTTCAACAAATAGTTATCTCGTTCGGTTTTGAGATGAACATTGTTGATGACTGTGTATATCACAAGTTCAGTGGGAGTAAGTATATTTTTCTGGTTCTGTATGTCGATGACATCTTGCTTGCCACTAATAATATAGGCATGTTGCACGAAACCAAGAGATTTCTATCAAAGAATTTTGAGATGAAAGATCTTGGGGATGCCTCTTTTATATTAGGGATCCAGATACATCGAGATCGCTCTCGGGGTATTCTTGGATTATCACAAAAGAGCTATATCGATAAGGTACTTAAAAGGTTTGGCATGCAAGATTGCAGACCAGGTGACACCCCTGTTGCTAAAGGAGACAAGTTTAGTCTCAATCAGTGCCCTAAAGGTAACCTTGAAATTCAGGAAATGCAGAAGATTCCTTATGCTTCGGCTGTAGGAAGTCTAATGTATGCTCAGGTATGTACGCGTCCGGATATTGCGTACATTATTGGGATGTTAGGCAGATACTTAAGCAATCCTGGTATGGATCATTGGATAGCAGTCAAAAGGGTTATGAGGTATCTTCAGAAAACAAAAGATTACATGCTCACATACAGAAAATCAGAGAAATTAGAGGTCATTGGGTATTCGGACTCTGATTTTGCTGGATGCCAAGATAGCAGGAAGTCTACATCAGGCTACATTTATATGTTAGCAGGAGGAGCTATATCATGGAAAAGTGTCAAACAAACACTAGTAGCTTCCTCCACTATGGCAGCAGAATTTGTAGCTTGCTATGAGGCATCCAATCAGGGAATATGGCTGCGAAATTTTGTCACGGGACTGCGCATTTTGGAAAATGTTGAAAGACCACTAAGGTTATATTGTGACAACAAATCTGCAGTAATGTATTCCAATAACAACAGGAGCTCAATCAAGTCAAAACATATTGACATTAAGTTCCTGGTTGTGAAAGAAAGGGTACAGAGTGGACAGATATCCATAGAGCACATTGGGACAAACTCCATGATAGCTGATCCTCTTACTAAGGGATTACCACCCAAGGTCTTTTATGAGCATACTGCTCATATGGGTGTGGTATTATTTAAGGATATTATGTTTTAGTGGGAGTTTGTAATTGTGGTGCTCTGTGTTTAGTTGTATTGTCTGATCAGAATAAAGTATTCAGTTAAGACACTCTGTTACATTATATTTGGTTTTGACCTCACTAAGGAGGACCAGTCAAAAATAGACATGTACTGATCACATTGCATGTAATTTTCATGCTGCACATCCATGATTGATCTATGTCGTTTGATTGTATTGGTATATGTGACCATTGATGGATCGAGTCACGATAAATGTGATGAAGGCCGCTTTGATCCTATATTGATATAGTCAATGGACGAGATTGTTCGGAAATACCTTTTCAGTGATAGCAATTTTTGAGCTCATAAGGTTATACACAATTTAAGGAATCATATGGTGCCCAAGTGGGAGATTGTTGGATTTAATCTAATAAATCTAATTGTGAGCACATATGATTAATCAATGTGTATTGCTATCTTTCAGGATAACCCACTAAAGTGATCAATTAATTTGGGTTAATGAGTATTTAAATAAGTCATGGGGTTATATGTGCAGATACCAGGTTGTAATTGTAATTTGTTGAGGGGCCAAATTACAAAAGTACAACATCTATAAATAAGGGGTTATGATCCCTAATCTAGGGTTACATTCTCTAATTCTCTTCACCCCATCTAAGAGAGAAATTCGGTTCTAGAGAAAACCCTAAGGTTAGAAGATCCAAAAACCCAAAATCAAGATCAATCAATGGATTCAGGTATAAGCTTCCGCTCTTTTAGATTGTTGTTTAATCTCTTTGAATTAATCATGGCTATATGGTTTTAGATCTAAAGTTTTATGATTAAGATCTAACAACTTTTAGTCCTGAAAATCAACTCACTCTACATTTTTTTAGCAAAATCGACCTACTTTCTCGTCACGCCAGCGTCGTGGCCAGAAAGTGTGTCGTTTTGAAAAAAATCGTGATCCTAATTAGTCAAGGTTGCCAACCCCAACTAATTAGGAACTCCGCCCAGTTTATGTTGTACAAAATGATTAGGGTTGGAAACCCCGACTACTTTGAAAAGCCTCCATTCAAAATGGTCAGGATTCCTAACCCTACAGTTTAGCATTTGTATGCAGCGGTGTATTCTCAGAATAGTTTTTCTTCCTCGTTACACCCCCACTCCCTTTTTCTCTCTTTCTCACCACTTGCTCGCTCCCTCCACTCCCGTCACAATTCTCATGCTCCGCCTCTTTCTCTCTCCTCCCCCAATTCCTCCACCTCCTCTGCTCCCTCCACTCCCGTCACAATTCTCATGCTCCGCCTCTTTCTCTCTCCTCCCCCAATTCCTCCACCGCCTCTCTCAACCCGCCAAAGCCACCACCGCTTCCTCCTCCCCCTCCTTCGGTGCTCTCCCCAGCTCCCCTCCCATGGCTGACCATTTTGCGCTGGAAGCGTCACAAGTCGTCCTCGACGTTGAAGATTCCCCGGTCGAGGAAGTTGCCCAAGATCGAGGAGAAAGGCCTGCCCTTGGGGAAGTCGTACCGCCACGTGGAGTTGAGGTAGGACCCGCACACATGGTAGCCCGCACTAGCGGTTGAGGCGGTACTGGAAGAAGAGAAGGAGGGCGAGGGAGAGGAAGGAAAGGGTGAAGGAGAAGAAGAGGGTGAAGGAGAAGAAGAGCAAGGAGTGGGGGAGGAGAGAGAGAGGCGGAGCATGAAAATTGAGAGGAGAGAGAAAAAGGGTGTGGGGGAGGTTTTGCAACGAGGAGGAAGAGAGACTGATCTGTGCACAAATGCTAAATGGTCGGGGTTGGGAACTCCGACCATTTGGAATTGAGTCGTTTTGAAACAGTCTGGTTCCCAACCCCGATTATTTTGTTCAACATAAGCTGGACGGACTTCCTAATTAGTCAGGGTTGGCAACCCCGACTAATTAGGATCGTGTTTTTTTCAAAACGATCTACTTTCTGGCTACGACGCTGACGTAGCGAGAAAGTGGGTCGATTTTGCTAAAAAAATGTAGAGTAAGTCGATTTTTGGGATTAAAAGTTTGAATGGGTTTATTTTGAAAATTTGTTCCTCTAAAGATACTCAACTTTCTGAGTGTAGGAAACATAGCATACAACATAACGGAAATTGCATATCATGTAGATTAATCAAAATTAATTAAAATCTAGAAGAATACGTGAAAAACTTTCGGAATTTCTTCGATAATCTGTCCCAAGATCAATACGAAATAGCTCCTCAAGAGAAAAAACCTCCAACTGAAATCCAACTGTCACCGAAGATGAGTACTACTGAGAGATAGGTTCTCAAAATATTTTTTTTCATTTTTCTTCTTTTTTTTTTTCATAAGGCTACATATGAATCATATATATAGGATTGGACTTGCCTTATAGATTTCAATTTCAAAATAATTCTTAGTTGTTTAAAACTATATCCATAACATTTAAAGATGAAATATTTTTTCGATAACAATTAGGATAGAAATATAATTGTATTGCATATAAACCTCTTCTAATGACATTAATGAGACCAATTGGGTCCCATATCGAGAATCAATTGTTAATCAAATTAATAATTTAATTTAACAATCAAATCCTTATCCGACCAACTGTTCATAAAAGCTCTTCCATAATATGTGATTAAATATTCGTGAATAATATTATCTTACATTCAGTCATTTCCAGTATTAATTTATTTTAGACAACTTTATTGAGCAGGATAAATCACTATTTGCTCATTCCTAAAATTTCAATCCCATAAACATAAATAAAAATCATTTTAAAACATCAAAATGTTTTATTTTATAAGAAAATTAATTTTTAAAAACCACCTGTCGACGAAAATTTAATATCTTCATGTAACATGCACGATAAATTAACTCATAAAAATGAGTATACTGGATCCTATCTAGATATTCATCATTTCCTTAAATAAAATCTAATAACCCAACATATCAGGTTATATAGCACTTGTAAAACAAGTTTAACCATCATATCAAAATATATTAAATTATCAAATCAAAAATGATAATATCATCAAGTCTAAGAGACCACGTAACAATTCAAATTCTTTATCTCTTAGGTGACTCGTCTTAGAGAATCCAAATAAGATCTTGTGCTACATATATTAAATATGCGCTTATGACATATACTCAGGGAATCTTCATTCCCGATAGCTGAGATCAACCATCACATCTCATATGTCGTTGTCATGCATAATAACCTCATATAACAATACTAGTTATAAGTTAAGCACAAATTTAAAAAACCTTTGAATTAGATCATATCTCCAAACAAGTGACTATCACAATGCATGATCTAACAAAATAACTTCTAAGAATAATATAACAATTATATAAAAGATACCCAAACAATATGTACAACAATAAAACTTAATTAATATTCAATAAAAACATATTGGATGTTTAAGGACAATAACAATACTCTAGCACTAAGTCCATACGTCTTGTGGGCATCGCATCTCAATTTTGTATATGGCTACGACAAAACATTGATCTTTGCACCTTAAAGAGATTATATACTCTTTTCTTTCCCTTTCTCTTTCCTAACAGTAAATTTGCACCCAAATACAGGATCTCCATGGCTCCATATTTAGAACTCGAGCCTCGATATGTATTCTTTACATGATGCGTTAAATTTTTCTCATTAAAAAATAATGAGAATTTCTTACCCATCACCAATTATATCCGACATAGACATAATTCAATGTTGATGCATATAATATAAAAGACATAACTCGATGTTGATGCATATAATATAAATTATTTTTATTACATTATTATAATCTACATTTGTAGGACAGTCCCAAAATTGAATACGTCGGTTGAATTTAAATAATCACCCAAAATTATCCTGGGTGTGCTGATTCCCGCAAACTGGCCTCATGCTGCTCCAAGTACTCCTTGCTGTTCATTTCTGTCAATCTGAAATGCAAAATCAAATAACAAAAGGAAAATGATGTGGAAAGTATTAATCATAATTATAAAATGACATTGAATAAATCATTGGATTGAAGTCCATGAATCCTAATCCAGAAAAAATGCTATGCAACGATAAATTTTCAACATTGGGAAAAGAAAACCAAATTCTTGTAAAGAAAGTGAATTGTTTGTCTTTGCTATCTGTCATGCTGTTTTTATATCATATTGTCCACCAAATAAAGTTTGGCATAAAAACTCATGGATTCTCCAATACTAAACTAGATGAGTGTACTAAATAATACAGTTCAGATATTATCAGCACGTCTACGGTAAGACGTAACAGCCACATAATGGGTTTTCACACGAGCAGCATCTAGAAAAGTAGTAGTAAACTTTGAAGTTTTCAGCATTTTCTATGTGCATTTCAGTTATCCATGCGCGTCATTTAAGCCACACAAAACTATTTGCAAAATTACAAATGGAAAGAATGAAAAAGTAGGCATTTTGGAACTTCATTAAATCGAATAGCTAAAGCACGTATACACAATCATCAAATATGCTAATTGGAAACGAGATATATCATCCAATACCAAACGTATAGAAGTCCCTGCACATATGTTCTGGGCACAGTACAATCACATATTAATCATATGCAGATAACATTCCAATGCAGGGAATTTGAGGGAGAATCCTCTCAATGCTAGATTTATGCTGTTTATAAACATCAAATCAAAAATTGTAAAAAGCTTTTTTGGGAATTCCCTTCCTACTACATTTTACTTCGTCATTCTTTCATTTATTTATTTATTCTTTATTTTTTGGTTGGTGCATATTCATTCATTGGTGTACTGCGTTTAGTGTTTTGTATTGATCGTAAACTCATGCAATAAAACATGGACTAATGGGCCGGGTTTATCATGTGATTGTGGCTGAGATTAATGGGCTGAGCTGTAATGATCATAATCACAAAATAAAACCTGACTCATTCATCCATAATTTACTACATGAATTTCTGATTCGTAAAACTCTAAACACAATACACAAAACATCAAATAGGCATAAACCAACAAACAAATAAAAGAACGAAAAAGAAAAAATGTGATGAAGCCAAACAAACTGAAAAATAAGTGAAAAGGGAAACTCAATCTTTCCCTTTGAACATGGTAACTCCCCCATCAGAAACTCTCAAAATGAACCAAAGCATAAATATGCAAATCATGCCAAAATCATGTGTTTAAAAGCATGGATTTGTATTTTTGAAGCTTCACTATCACCTTAACTGCCTGCTAAAATGCTAACATTTGTTAGATCATCTTATCTAGTATCGAGGTCATAAAAATAGTATTCATTTAAATATCCGCTCTATGAAGCATGAGTGCTTGATGGCTTGGATAGAAATAATATGTTGTTTCACATCCCTGGTTGCTTTCTATGTCCTTTGCAACAAAATTCCATTTAACTAGCTATCACTCACTGCCTGAAAAATAGAAGAGCTTGGAATAGTTCAGGGGGATCACACCTGCTAATGGTCCGGTCCTTGGCAAATCCTAGCTCATTGTCCACACAGAGGTCAACATCATCCTTTTTCAGTGATCGAGAAGATGTTCTAGGAGATATCTTTTGGGCATCAGCAACCGTCACGATTCTTTCAAAAAGTTCTGCCATAGATGTCTCTGCTGTACACAACAATCTGGCCTTGTTCTCATACATCACCTGCAAAAAGGATTTGTTACGATTCCATATCGAGCCAAGTGTAGCCTGTGATGCGATCACCAACCAAGTGAAGAAGACTATAAAAAAAAGTGTTCCATGTTGGATATGTATGCGTAGAACAGTCTAGGTTCCACAAGAACATTATGTTGTTTAATAGGTTGTTGATCCATAAAGTCACATGTTTAGCTTTTAGGTTGAATAAAATGTTGGCTTTAAGCTAGAGATTAACCTGGTAGGCAGGGGAAACCAATCAATTTCGTATAATAAAAGAACTGAATTAGGTTTATGCGGGCTTCTGATTTCTAGATGTAAACACTGTCACTTTATTCCTCTTAAATTACGGGATTAACTGAATGTGTCCTTGTACAGGCTTCAAACTAGAGGTAAACATCACCAATTTGGTATTTGTCCACATTCATTACTTATAAAAGTGTGAGATACTGCCTATCTAAAGCTTAATATATGTGGCGCTCATCATGGAGAGGCCCTGAAGCTTGCATTTCTTTACTCTATGAACTTTCAGATCTAAATGTGCTCCTTCTCTGTTGACAAATGACAACTATCATAACTAATTTTTCCTGGATTTAATACCATCACCATGCAATATGGTTACTGCTACAAACTTTGATTCTTGTGATAAATGAGGATTTGCTAGCCTTATGTCGGTACACATACCTTAAACACAGCCTATTTTATGTTCTTGAATCTATAGAACTTTATTTTCACAAACTAAATGTCACTGTAGTATTATTTTCCACATGATACTTCCATTAACGGACAAGTAAATACTAACATAAACAACCGTGTCACTCAGAAAAAAGTTGTCGTGTCAAACTTCTTGAGACAATTCGTGCTATATTGCACAGTTATTTTGATAAGTGACTGTGAGACATATCATGTATCAAACCGTAGTTGGGTTTTCAGAGATATAAAGCACATGATATTTGATTGAAGTAAAGGCCTTAATGCTGCTAAGCTGATGGAGGTACACACATGACCTCTAAAATACAGATGGTTAACCTGTCCATGATCTTATCAGGTATCATTTAATATATGTAGTCTAACAATTAAGTAAATCTTGAATTGTTGGGCATTGATACATATGAGATGGATTAGCATGTGAATAGTTCCCTCTCTATAGGTGATGCAATTAGTGTGGTGCATCGAATGTTTCAACCAAATAAACCACATGCAAAGACCTGGTAGTCCTAGTCGAGACAGATTGAGTAGCTGGTCCTAGTGTTGATAGTCTACAGCTGGTGTCTATCCTTTAGGGAGATCAACATTTTTCTTTGAAGATCCAAAAATATGATACCAGCAATCCATCTGGTAATATAACCAAGTAATATAATTTAACTAGAGAAAATATGTCTTGCGTCATTTCCAACAACGATATTTTACTATTTATATAACCAAAGTGTGATTCAAACATTAATACCAATTCTCTTTTGTTCCTACAAAGAACAGAATGCTACTTTACTCTTAATCTTCTCTCAACTGCCCAGGCATTGTCTTTAAATTAGTCTAATGACTCTAACCATGCACTGGAAAACTGACTATAAACAACAGACTACTCCACAAAGACACAATGATGGCATACTTGAACATTTTTTAAAATTCGAAACTATAATTCCATAGATTGGAGCTCCCACTAGAAAACTATACAGAATGCAACACTAAAGTTTCACAACTTGATTGAGAATCCTGCTGATTAAATCATATATCCCATATGCCTCATCAGAAAATCAAGTGCTAAACTGCTGTCTCGTTAAGCAAGAGTACACACTACTTTCTCCAAAAGTAAAATAAAATATGCAGCAAAATGAAGTTTCATATTTATAAATAAACCACTACGATATTCATTGACTTAGTGACCAAAATATGGTTCATATGGACCGTGATGGCTAAAGTCCCCCAAGAGCATGAAGTTGATGAAATAAATTGGACAGAGAACCAACTTGCTGCATAGTAATAAAAGCATGGGACTTTGTAGGAATCATCAACATACATCAACAAGTGTAACAAACCGATAGGCTGCTGCACGATTATGGATCCCAAATTTTGGGACACCTTCAAGTGCTAATGTATGAAACTTCTCTGAAAAGGAATTAAAAATAGCTAATTAGAATCAACAACAAGGAAAAGAAAATAAGTGAGTTTTTGTCTCATATATTCATCAGCATTTTAGTGATTTCTTCATATCAAAATACAAGTCAGTTGAGGAACTCACTAAACAACCCAAAATAGTCTGCAGCTCCCAGAGGTCTGTCACAGAGTTCTTCAAATGAAAAATATGCACATCCATTATACCCTAGTGGAACCTAAAAAGGAATAGGTCCATTAATAAATTTTGATATACTAAATGAAAGAAAATGGACTACTGTTGAAATATTAAAAACCTGCAGCTTTCTTCCCATAACAACTTCCACAACTTGTGGGCCAGGAGTTTCTTTCCCAATTAACTGCTGAAACTTCTCTTTAAGAAGTCCAGAGTATTCATGTCCAATAAAATAGAAACCCTGCTCAGCCTGCACATAAAAATAGATATAAGTTGCTGACAGTAATTTGTTGAATTCCAAATGAAAATGAAGCATTCAGTGAAACACTTACAGAAGTCATTTTTCGGTAATCTGTGGAAGAACCAATTGCATGAACAGTGCATCTTTCCTGCATTGATGGGTTAAATTAAGGTAGGTATGTCATATCATGTGTATGAAAAAGAAAGTGAAAGACAAAAGAAGCATACTTCAAAGTAGTAAATTCTTAAGTACCTTTAGGGTAGCGATAAATGGTAAGAAAAGATCCCTCTGAAGACCACCTTCGTAAAGATTATCTGGAGCACGATTTGAAGTGGAGAGCAGGACCTGGATTAAAACTAACCATCTTGAGGTTAAAATTTAAACTGAAGTGGTAGGTGCAGACTGCAGTCAATTGTGTGCACAAAGAATTATCTAAAAGGTTCAAAAGGAAAGTTGAGTACATACAACTCCTTTGCTGAAAAGATGCCCAAAAAGACGATTTAATATCAAAGCATCAGCAACATCATTCACCTACAAGTTACCATTTACATCAATACTAAAACCACAGCAAAATAGAGATATAGAATATAACAAAGTGACAAAAGAACCTACCCCTGTATTTCTAACATACCATAAATTCATCGAGACATAAAAGAATTGACTCATCTGATATTTCCCCTGCAACAACTTCGAGCGGATCTTCTACTCCTTTATGCATCTGCATTCATATACTAAAATCAAATATACTACAGAAGTCATAGTAGGAGTGCGTTACATGTTTTTATGAGTCAAGTATAAAGGAGAAAATATGCTAAAATGATACTCATGTTAGATCTTAAAAGATTAATCACAGCATAAATCTACAATACCTGTAAGCGACTATGGACGCTCAACATAAAATCATGGAAATGTATTCTTTTCTTCCTCCAGGTAGATGGTCTGTACAAACAACAAGATATAACTTATTCCATGAGAAGTAAGAGGGTCCGAATACAGTGATAAAAATATGTGTGATCCTAAAAGAAAATATGATTGAATATATGTCATGGCTCTTCCATGAGAAGTAAGAGCGTCCAAACATAGTGATAATAATATGTACGATCCCAAAAGAATATATATCACGGCTCTTGTACTTCACTGTACAAAATCATTGTAGTAAAGCTTGAATTCATAACTCTTGGAGAGATGAACCAGATGGACATAAAAAATGTCCATGCAGAACTTCTAATTGATTAGGATGCTGTGAACGAGGGGTGTTGTTTGTATTAATACCATTAACAAGCACGAAATGGGATAAGATTTATGTCTATGCCACTCAAAAATATGTCCGAAAGAGCCACTCTCTGATCTGGATGCCTTAAGATGAGTGGCATCAAATGGTAGCAATGCTGCTCAATCATATGAATCAAGTACCTCAAGACATAAACTAGCTACAGCTTATGAAATTAGCACGTTATTTTGAATAAGAAATCTATAACGACAAGGAAGTGCCACCAAGAAAATACCAAACGTGACCAATATGCTTCCAGTACTTTATTAATGAATATGGCAGAATTTGAAATAATCAAGAAACGAGCTTGCATTAATGCCTCAAAGATATGTCCTCAAGTTGATGCCAACAAGTACAAAACATAAAAAATCTTCTGTTAGCAACTTGCTAATGCAGCATTACAATTCCTCCTGAATTTTTATTTTTTCCAATGGTTTCAGGATGTATAGATTGAAAATAAACATAGAGATCGACTTTAGTTGCTAACCAGTACTTCTACAACAAACTGAAAGGTGAAAGCTATTCTTTCTGATATACCTTGATGAATGTAACTTAATGATTCTGGGACTGGATAGCAAATAAGATCCCATAATTCGAGCCTTCTATATTATATTGAACAATATGATAATACATTAGAACGTCGCCAATCTTCATAATCTACTGCAAATTGCATTAAATAAACTAATATTCGCATGCAACAGCCAGTGAGGCAATATTGTTATACCACCATGACTTGAGTACATGACGCATGGAGGATTTTTATTTTCATTTTCTTCTTAAGTGACTCTTAGCCACAGGGGAAATAGAAAACTGAAGGATCACAAAATACTTTCGAAGAAAGATTTCTTATCCTTGGGAACTAAATCAATTGCAGTGGACCAAAACTTCACTACCATCACCTTCTTTGTGATGAAACAACATAGATAAGTCATGTTCTATGTAACCCACCGTCTTCTCTTGAAAAAAGATAATACATGTAATACGTAGTCATGCTCTAGGGGGGGAAATCGCCTCTAACAGCCTGCATGAAAAAATATGAAAATCCCCCACAGAATTAAACAGGAAAGTAAACCAGGAACAATAACCTACAGCTGATCATAAAACAAATCCATAAGCATTGTCTTTCCAGTCCCTACTCCTCCGTAAAGATACAGCCCTTTAACTGGTGAATAAGAAGAAGACTGGGGCATGAGACGCGACCATAACCACCTACTCCTGCAAAAGTGATGCAATAGGCAACCATTAAGAACAAACAAAGAACTCAAAAAAACTACTTCAATTGCTCAAAGAACTAGTTTATCTTCAACAATTACCTCCCAGATTTTTCAGATGCTTTATATCTATCCAATCGGCACTTATCCTCATTCTCGACTAGCTGGTCATAGAGCCCTTGTAGCAATTGAAGGGTATCAACCTAAAACAGAAACCAGTTATAAATTTTGTCGACTGCATACTGAACAATGGAATTAATCAGCTCAGACCTGAAAGCTATCACCATCAACAAGTTCCCCCGATGAAACTCTCCGCTCATACTCATACAAAGGACCTCTCTTTCCAGCATCCACACCATCTAGCTCTAAAACCCACAATTTTAACAGCAAATTGATTGATAGTATGAAACAAATGAATAAAAAAGAATAAAATGAATACCTTGAGTGGAATCATTTTCTGCATAGCTCGAAAGAGACCTCAGGGACAGCGCCCTCGCATCAAAAACTCTCTTGAATTCTTTAATTTGCGAGGGTTTTGAGAAAGAACGAGCAAGCCAGTCACTTTTCTTCTCACTTTTATCCAATTTATTTGGGGCAGCATGCAATCCTTGCCGAGCACGAGAAAAGGTTCGAGCTTTGAGAAGAGCTCGAGCCAGCGTTCTCATTTAACAATCCCCAGCAAACCCTCATTTCAATAAAAAGAAGATCATTATACGAAAATTCTACAACTGAAAAATCGAAAATCGAAGGGGAAAAGAAGAACATTACTCACAAGAATCGAGATAGTTCTAATTCAAGGTTTTTTTAATTTCACACGAAATTGGGAGCACGAGCCCGAACCCTAGTTTTATTAATAAAGGTTTCAATTTTTCGCACGAAAACGGGAGCGCGAGCGCGATCCCTAATTTCGTGGAGAAGGGGATTTTTTTATTCGAGCTTTGAGTGTCCATTATCGGGTTTGTGGGGCCCGCTTTGGCTGTCGCTATAACTAAAATACGATGACCATTTGGTTTGGTTTTGTCGATGATAATGATACGGGGAAAATGAGAGCTTACTTAATAGCGCGAATCTCCAAGGCCAGCTGTGTGGTTTAGAAAATTGCTGATTATTTTGGACAGAGAGGATTTGCTTTGTTCCCATAATCACGGGTCGCCATGGGATGGTGTTGTGGACTCGCTCACGTGTCGAAAAAATGTCGGAGGGGCCTACTTATATATATATAAAGGATGGATTACAAATTCTAGGATAAAAAAGCGGGTGTTTTTTAGTTTAAGGACCCGTTTGGTTGCTGAATAGGGTTTGGGAAAGCCTGCCAAAACTGACAAAAACTGTCAGTTTTGACAGACTTTCTTGTAAAAACGTCATTTTTTGGGGCGTTTTTACAAGAAAGTCTGTCAAAACTGATATTTTTTGGGGTGTTTTTATCAGTTTTGGCAGGCTTGTTGCCCATTTCAACTCCTCTTTTCAGCAACCAAACGGGCCCTTACGGTGTCCATAACCTTTGTTTGATTCAGAATAAATTTTGGAATATTGAATACCTAAATAATAAAAAAGTAATACATTATAGCATTTGAAATCCCCTATTTGGGAGAGGATTTAGACTAGATTTCAAATTCTAAAATTTGTAATGCTACAATTTGAGTTTGAAACAAACAAAATACAAATTATAGAATCGTATATCCAAAAATATTGATGAAACAAACAATTTCTTAGAAATCTCAACCCATGTTTAAAAACCTATGGATTTCAAATCTCATGGTGAAATCCATATCCTAAAATTATAGGATCTGAAACAAACATTATCCAAGTTTGAGACGATATATTTTGGATTTTGGAGTAAAATAAAATGATGATAGATAGGCGCATACTCAAACCTACATTTGAAGTTCAATGTAGCCAGCCAGTAGAAGTTTGCTAGCAAATGATTAATTGGAATTCATTAATGGTACATTAAATTAAGAACAAATTTTCATTGTAGACCCAAACAGAATTTTAATTATCAAAATCGACCGATTTTTTTTTAATTACCAAAATCGACCCGTTTTATGCCACATAGGCTTAAATCCAGTTTCCTAATTAGTCGGGGTTGGCAACCCCGACTAATTAGGAGTTGTTAAACCCCAAATAGAAGCCTTAAAACCCGGTTTAACAACTCCTAATTAGTCGGGGTTGACAACCCCGACTAATTAGGAAATTTGATTAAGCCTACGTGGCATAAAACGGGTCGATTTTGGTAATTAAAATTCTGTTTGAGTCTACAGTGAAAATTTATTCTTAAATTAATATCAATTTTCAGACTAATAGAGTTCACAGTTTCTGCATTAGCTCATTAGAACGCTATTTTAACGCAAATAGATTGAAAGAAGCGGATGATGTCATTGGAAGTTTGATGTCAATGGCAATGGAGTTTGGAATTAATCATTATAGCAACATTGTATGTTTTCTGTTATAAGCATGAATGTATGATCGATGTTGGAGTTAATTGCCTATTGTTCTGATATCATCGTTATTTCGGAGGGTCATCACATCCGTTGTAGTCTAGTTGGTTAGGATACTCGGCTCTCACCCGAGAGACCCGGGTTCAAGTCCCGGCAACGGAATTTTATTTTTGTTTTTTTCCACTTTTTTTTCTTTGCACAATACTGCTGGCACAAACAGAACGGTCATCAAAGTAACAAACCTCAACCACCCCCCCCCCCCGACACAGAAAATAGGATGCGGTTCTTTCTTTTTTTCCCCTTATAATTATCAAGTATCCTTCTTCTTCAACCATCTTTACAAAATACAGTGGCAACACTTTTTTAAAGTTCAAGTTAAATTCGTAGTCAGCAAGATTTGAACATGTGCTGTTGTGATGTCACTCACTCTCTGTTAACATTTTAAAGTTGTGATGAAGTTCGTCGATTATAGGTTTATATTAATGCTAACAAAAAAGCCCCGTTTTATTAATACTAAATGGCACAATAGCACTTACTGAACATGAGATGTGATGTCCAATTCTTTCATAAAAAAAAAAAAAAAGAAAGGAACGAAAGAAAGGAAAAAGAAAAATAAAAAAATCTCATGCCAGAGATAGAGAGAGAGAGATTTATTGTGTTATTGAGCGAAGTTGGGGAGATGCAACAGTCGTTATTGTGGAAGGAACAGTGCTCGATACTATCATCCTTAACGTTGCATTATCGTATCACGCTTTACATCGCGTATGTTTCCAGTTTCTATTAAGGCAGAATGCGAACGGCTTGGCTGCCGTCGTTCGACATTCAACCCGATTGCATCCTCCTCCAACAATCTCCGTCACTCCGAAGTCTCCAAATCTGACATCATCCTCCTCCAACCAGTGGCGTAGCCAGAATTATTGTTTGCCGTAGGCGAAAAATAAAGGGATTGTGTCGAGCAAGAGGAAGTAGAGGAGACCGGTGTTAGCAATTGTGTCGAGCACCGTCAGCTGAGCTGCTGCTCTCTCTGCTCATCAAGAAGTGTGGATAGTTGCTGGGGCTAGTGATGTTCTGGTTCTGATACGTGGAGAGGCTCGGCCTCGGCCTAGGCTAGGGTTAGATCTAGCTGGAGCTGGCGTAGCTGGTGCTGAAGGATGGAGATGATGCCGACACAACCGTAGGACAGGATCCTTGAGACGCATGTCAGCCTCATAGGCGAGGGAGTTCACAGCATCTTCACGTTAGTCGCGATTGAGGTCGTTGAGGATCTTCGTCACGTTGTTGGCACCAAACACCTTGTGAACGTTCACAAATTTCTGTGGGTTGTAGTAGGGTGCGAACACGCAGTCCAGCTGGCACTTTCACCTGAGGAATTTACAAGCTGCGCACAGAGAGCTCGTCGCGGTTGATGATGACCCCAAAGCTGAAAGGGCAATCGAGTGCGGAAATGCGGAGGAAGACGTCATCATCATCAAGGTGTGGATATCACTTTCTTGCTCGGAGGAAGACGTCATCATCATCAAGGTGTGGATATCACTTTCTTGCTCTGGGCAGCTGCCCAGGGCAACACAAGGCTGGTTCCGCCACTGTCTCCAACCAACTCGTTCCGAAGTCTTCGACGTCATCTCAGCCTCCACATCCTCCAAAACTAAACTAAGTTCAACCAACTCGGCTCCGAAGCCTCCGACACCAGCATCACGGTCTCCACGTCCTCTAAAAACCAACTAGGAAGTGGAAGGACAACGAGCTTTTGTTACCTTGCAACTAATTTTACTTCAGGGACTAGATGATCAGAGTTTTTTGTACTCGAGAGAAACTCTAATAATTGTGCTTTATTTCCTTTAATAACTACTTTCAGTGCAAAGGATTGACTAATCTAAGTTAAAACGTATAGTTGGAGATTATGTGTTTAGAATCAAGATGGGGAAAAAGTTACTAAATTAGGAAATGTAAACCAAAGAATAGTCGACTTCAAGTTACGCACGATCTCGGTACCAAAGCGACTTGATTAAACAAATACCTCCTCCTACAAAGCGACGCCATCACTTAGTAAGCACGCGCCCAAAACAACCCAATTCCACCATAAATGCGCTCAAAACACTTCAACATCAATCTCCAACTTAATACAGCATCAGTGTCCAGCTAACACAGTGAGTTCCAGAACCATTAACATTTTCTAAACCTAACTTTCTTCTTACTCAAATGATCCGGATACCAACCGATATAATAAAAATCACCATTTTCCTTGTACATTTTCGCTGAAAATACCTGAACATCTCCACTCCAGTATTTGCTGTAAGCCCTCAATTCAAACAACCGTGCCGTCAATATCCCTAAGGAATATTACCTCTTCTTGCTGCATCAACTGGACTAACATTACTCGTACCAACTGCAACACCAGCCACAGGAACCAGAGGCCTTCCATAACCATCGACATAGGGTTGAGCATAACCATGGCCATAGGCGACGCCTTGACCTACAGGGGGATATAAAGAAGCTGGGCTGCTGAAAGTTCCAGCATAAGGGTTCATCGCCGCATCTGCATGATACAATAAAAGAATAATTTAGAAGATGAAATAAGTAATTTGAGATTTCAAAATAGGATGGATGTTTACTGCGCAGCTGTTCTCCCTTCTCAGCATTTATCACGTCCGCTCGTAGCTTCTCCACTTCCCTTGCCAATGATATCAAATTCTTCTCCATGGCTCGCATCTGCTCCACTTGCTCAATGTTTGAACCTTTCTCACGCTCAAATGTAGCTCTTCATGCAAAAAGAATATGGAAGTTAGACATTATTCTTAACAAAGAATGTACACAGTTATCCCCTCATCCAAACATGTCTAGAGCATAACATTGTTAGCCAGAATGTCACTCGTACATTCAGTTCAGGTGTGTATATGGTTAGCAAAAAGGTACGAGGTAAGGTGCAGCCCCATGCTGGAAAACGGATAGACGGATATATGGTTATATATCATTTTGAGTCTACTTCGGTCCAAGTAGATTAGCCTGGTGCATCTGCTTTATATGCCTTTTCAACCAAACAAGTACTCAATTGGAGCTAATCATTTGTGTACAGTCCCTTCAAAAATTGAGGAATATGCACTTGATCCTAGTTTTATGGTATGCAAGGGTTTACCAAATAGATTCTCAACCCATAAAATTATTTGTTTTGACAGATATCTTGCAAACTAACATTGTGCAAAAAACTCAATTTTGTATCAGGTATAATGCAAAGAGCAAAGGTGAAAAATGTCATATGTAAAGTGCCGAAAAAGGAGTCGACAAAAATTTTAGGCCAATTTAATTTACCGTAATTTCTGATGCTCTTGCCTCAAGCCATCTAGCTGAGCAAGCAACTCAGGCATCTTCTTGTCGCCGCCACTGATTTTCTGTAATTCTTCGGTCAACACCTGAATTTCACTAGCCAACTCCTGTCTTTTGGTCATTAGGCTCTGTGCCTCCTTATGGGCTTCCTGTAGTTCCTTCTTCACGATTTCACCAGCACGAATATCTTCCTCGGCCTTCCTAATCTTCTCCATAAGTCCTCTGACCTGGATATCACTTTCAGTCCTGATACTCCCGATATGTGATTTGATTCTGTGGATCTCTTGCTGATTGGCTCCTATCTCGTCTCTCATGGCAACATGTGTTGTTGCCAATCTCTGATTCTCCCTCAGAAGCCTCTCTATTTCAGCAGCTTGAGAAGCTATTTTGTTTTCCAGAAGCTCAGGTGGCGGCAGAGGCTCTAAAGGGCGACGAGGATCAGCAGGTCTAAGTTCTCCAGGAAAGGGGCCATGGCGCATCATTCCAGGAGCATGAAGGTCCCGTCCCTCATATGCGTGTCTTCGGGCATCCATGGAAATTTCTGCAATAATGAGTTGTGGGACCAGCAATTCCTAAGTTTTACGCTCAAGTGCTCACAACTTACCTAGATAAAGCAAAAAAATTTGTCTCGATAACAAGTTTTTCTATCTAGATATGGCCATATGGTCTATGGAAAATTTCGAAGAAGAAAAATAGCACACAACTATAACATGGATAAATAGAAAATCACACACACACAAACACACAAAATACAATATAGTGATATGGTACAACACACAAATATAACGTATCCTAAAGATTTAAGATACACATACGTCATGGACGTAATAATAATAAAATTCCGCATGGCTTTCTAATGGTCACTACCAACAGTATGAATCTATAAAGCTAGAAATATTAAAAAAGCTCGGTCTCTCAATATTGTGAATTTTTTCCAGCTATACATCAAAACATATTCCTTATTGAGAACCTAAACGTCAATGCCTCTAAGGATAAAATACAATTGTGACTTCATACATTTGATCTTAACTTCTTAGTCTCGGATACATCCATGATGTCTTCAATTCATCTGAGATATGTTGCAAATTTTAACATGTGTGTCTGATATGTATCCATCAAGTACAATGGTAGAAGTACGTAGATATGTGTCATTTGTCGAAGTATTTGAGCAATAGGTCAGAACCTACTTGTTCACGTCGTCTAAGTCAATAAAGGGGAGATGTAGACATATGCTTCAAGATTCACCAAAAAGATGTACAAACAACACGTGAAGGTTTCTTCTTGCCAAAAGCAATTTGACCCCTAACAAGATAATTTTAGCTAGGGAATGTTAACCGATATGTGCTGGATCATCCAATAAATGGGAAAAAAAGATTTGGATAGGATTTCTGCAGAGAAGTTAAATGGTCCACTGTAATTTTATTCAGACAATATCATAGGAAAAGGCTATGTACTTGCTGAAACCATGATTTGGGCAACTTTGATTTGTGTCTCATTTGGCATACAAGCGTGAACGGGAGTATCAAAATTCAGATATGATGTCACATTATGTTTGTCTGTCTTCAGACACATTAATAGTTAGCTATAAAAGTTAAAAGGAAAATAATAATATTATTATTATTAACGTAATAATGCCACAAGTTATCAGAAGGTAAAAGCATACCTATCCCAACAGGATTAGGTATTTTATACCTAGTAATCGTTGCAATGTCACTCCTTTGATCCTGTGGTGACAAATATTAAAAAGATAAAAATAAAAATAAGAAAACAACTGATTGATACTTTATATGGTTTAGGTTAGGGATTGACATTAGACACACTGATGAACTGAAAGTCTGCATTCTCTCCTCTTCTTTCCCTTCCTTAACTTCCTCCTTCCTCCTATATCTTTTTTACTATTGCTTTCTTCATGCCCTTTATTTTCTGATTCTATTTCGTTTATGTTTCTCAAAATCGTGAAAGGAAGTGTTCACAAGTGTATACACAAACAAATGCATGGTCATGAATCATGACCTTATCCTCATGGGTGGTAGATGACAGATATGAAATTGAAACCTTAGGTATATACATCAAAATTTTGGTAAGAACAGCAGTCAAGATTGGAAGGTAACAGGCAACAAGTTTTGTCTTTATCTTCATTAACAGGTCAGTGTTCATTGAAGCATCTTTTAAGGTTAGTTTTGGTTTTCTAGTGAAAAATTGACTAGGAGGTGGCTGATTGCAACCAAAAAAAGAAAAAAGAAAGAAAAAAGAAAAAGAAAGAAACACTTTAAAGGTGCTTTATGTATAAATTGAAATTCAAAGGTGGTTCTGGTGGAATTACCGTATTTGAAGGTGTTTTTTATGAAAAAACCCAGAGAAGTTTGATCAGACGAGGAGATTCTATAATGACTTTTTACTCTGCCTAGAGAGTGTCTATTCATATAACTACAGAAATGGTTGGATGGATTAAAGAGGAAAATTTTGCAAAATGTCGGCTAAAGGAGATAAGTCATCCAATTTAATGTGAACTAAAAACGCACATCAAACAGCACTATCAAGAGTCAATAAACAGTGTGATAACGCTTACTAGATTTATTAAGAATGGGGTGACGGTCATACATAATGATGACAATTAAATATAATTCTGAAGCTCCTGTTTCCCCATAGTCTGGTGTGATAAGATTTAGAAAGACGAACAAATTTAACCTTTCAAGGAAATGGTGTCTCCAAACATATGTTGCATGTTAATTTTAAATATTAGACAAGAGAACAAAAGTTTTGCTAGACTCTCACTCTCTTCAGGAACAACTCACTGTAACTTTATCGTCGAAGACTGGACCTTCCTTATCTTACTAGTTTCAATTAAGCAGATCTACAGAACCATGAAAATTCAAAATCATATAAATGAAGATGTATAGAGAATGCATTTTCATCAAAGAAATTCATGATTTGAAAGTAGAAATACATCCAATTATGGATTCAGTTCTGTGATCTTGAAGGAGGTCATTACGGATTGAACCATTATATAGAAACATAGCCATTACAATAATAGCAAATTAATGATAGAGAAAAGAGAGCTTCAAAAAAAAAAAGACATGCAAGTAGTTAGCACTTAATTAAATAAAACATATATGTGCATAGTAAACTGAAGACATATAATACTTTTTCTATTTCTATCGTGTTTCCAGGCAATTGTTTTAATAAAATTGACGCCCATGAAAAAACTTTGAGATAGCTACAAGACGAAGTTTGCCTCTATCAGATAAAGTCTTGTGATTTAACTCTAGCACTCAGCTATGTTCCTATGCATTATCTTCTGCAATTTAATTTTTAGCAATCAGCTTTTTTTCTTTTTAATCCCTTTTGCATTATATTTACCCAGCAACCAAACTAAGCACACGCAAACCCCAGAAGGAAAACATCGTTACAGTCCCTGCCAACCCTAAGAAGCTGAATCTTGAATGTGAATGAAGCATGCAAAATGTTATCATATCTTTACTAATACATTTGACACATAAGCAAAACCGTTACCGATCAAACACTAAGGGTGTGTTTGGCAATCACCCAAAAACTGGGTCAGGTTCAACCTTGACCTAGTTCTACTCTAAACCAATTTAGTGTTGGACCACTACCCCTGGTCCAACACTAAACTGGTTTTATGGCCTTTTTTAGCCTAAGAATAATTGGGCGAGACCTGGCCCGATTTTTGTCAATCAAAAGCAAACTCAAAACTGGGCTATGTTCAGTCCTAGCCCAATTTTAGCAGTTTGCCAAACACAAGAGTGTGTTTGGCACTCGTCTAAAATTGGGCCAGGTTCAATCCTGGAGTTCTTTTCTAAACCAGTTCAAAGTTGGACCAAGGGGTGCTGGTTATAGGCGTCAAAAAATGCTGAAAGATATCCAAATACAGCTCAAGAGGAAATTATCCAAAAAGACAGAAGAACACAAGTCTTGACTGTCTCGCCGTGCGAGACAGACTTGACTGTCTCGCCGTGCGAGACAGGAATTTACTGTCTCGCACGTGAGACAGCTTTCGATGGTCAAAACTACCTTTGTAAACTTGCCTTACTACGTGGCCACTAACTGTTCAAGACACGTGAAAAACGTCGTGGGCGAGAATCACGTGTGATAACTGCCATAAATAACGAGTTTTGAAACGTGGAGGCAGTTAGATGAAAAAGCTGCCTGTGGTGTATTGTTCCGCTGAGACAGGTGTTTACTGTCTCTGCGGGCCGATGACAGTGTTTATCTGTCTCGGCGGGCCGCAGACAGCAAACACTGTCTCGCCCGTCGAGACAGCAAAAGCTGTCTCGCGAACATGTTTTCTGCCAACTGTTCCTAGAGGCTATATATACTCCCCGAAGGCTATTTTCTCAAGTGGCTGATCATTTTGAGCACTTGAGAGCAATCCAGAGCGGAGAGAGAGCAGAAGTGCTGATCTTACGGCCAATCCTTGATAATCAGGCTTTGACTTGATTTCAAGAAGAACGACTATCTTACATCGATAAGATATCGTTTCAATTTCTCACTTCGATAAACGATGTCAGAATCATAAACCCCTCACGGTTCAATCAGAATCTGTGATTTGGTGGTCCACGAGTCAAAGCGCTCCCGGCACAGGCAAAGATCCCACGAAAGCAGTGATCCAAACAACGATCCTGCGTTTATTTTCTCAAGAGTTGTAATTTTCTTTTTGTTGTGTAAAAGAGTCTTATAAAAAGGCTGTTTTCTTTGAATTTATTGTAATCGACCGAAGATATAATGAATTCGACAACAAAATCAACTTTTGGCAAAAACACTGGTCTAACACTAAATTGGTTTTCAGGCCTATTTTTGGCCTAACAAGAACTGGGCCACTGGCCCAGTTTTTGCCAATCACAAATTAACTCAAAACTGGGTCAGGTTCAGTCCTCACCCAGTTTTAAGAGTTTGCAAAAAAATACCCTAAGTTGTTTATAAGGTTCGAATGTCTAAAGAAAGAGCATATCTAGCTTTTTTCCGTATTACTACTTTGACACCTAGAACTCATCAAAAGAAATTCCTAATGACTCAGTCTTTAAGGGTTTCATATAAACTCAACATGCTTGGAGATAAATTTAGTTGTTCTGGAATGTATCACGACGTGCATCTTGTAAGTGAGTAGATGTGTGNTATAGTGTCTCTAAACTCTATCCTCATAGCGTTTCTAGTGCTTTACCAATAGAACCACCGTATTCAAGGGTAATCAACAGCCTATTCTTCATGATAAGACATTAAATGAGATCTTCATGTCCTACAAAAAGACTAACATAAGATGTACACACCCCACACATAGCAGCCAGAACATCTAGAACTATCTATTAAACAACAACTTCCAGTGACTTGGTAGTCCAGCTCATGTTTTTCTCAATATTCAGATAAAATTGATAGTAATAAGGCCACCCTTTTATACAGTGAGCGAATTCGATTGAATTGAGCAGAGAATTCCAAATGACCTGAGCTTAAGCCTTTCTTTTTTGGGTGGGGGTGGGGGTGGGGTGGGGGGTTATGTTCTACATTAGTAAACCTAACAGAACATTTTCTTGTCAGTATGGCAACAAAATTCAAAACTCTATATATGGGTGATAAATGCAGACGCCATGTAATCTTCCTCAATCTGTCTTATTAAAGCTGTTAACTAAAAACAGGCATAGCTAAGGCCTCTAACTTAAGACTGTACATTATAGAACACCCAGTAAACTATGTGTAACAGGTAACTAAGCTTTAATAGCTCTCCGTTATAGAACACCCAGTAAACTATGTGTAACAGGTAACTAAGCTTTAATAGCTCTCCGCTCTAAGGATTGAGCTTGATACCTCTCTTTTGGCTTATAGAACTTCTTCCAGAGTGAATCATCATAATTTGATATCAACACCCTACCTTAAAAAAAGAAATCTTTGAACAGAACTCCATCGACGCGTGCTAAGACATCCGCAGAAAAATCCAGTCCAGAATCAAAGAGCAACTTCACACAGCATTTATCATAATTTAACATCATATAATCATCAAAGAACAGCTTTTGAGAGTGTTCCTGTTCAATTTAGCAAAAATATCTCTTATTTGAGAAATAGATACAAGGTCATTACATGGTCTCCGCGAATTTTTTTTTTTTTTTGGGTGGTAAATATGACTAAAAATATTGCCAATAAAAGAGAAATCTTTCTGATCGCAGACAATTACAATACTCTTAAAATTGTCAACAAACGAGGTAAGTTCGATTCCACAAGTAAATCTATCTTAATTTACAAGAAAAAATAAGAAGAATTTAGATCGATTATCGAGGAAATAGAAAACCCTAGAAAAAAAGAGAGAGTACCTTTGATAGTGAGGACGGATTAAGAAAGGTATGGCATCGCGAGTGATGATGTTATTCAGTCTTCACGGCTGGATCCCATAAAAGAATCGGGATGGGTTCGGATATGCATCGGGTTTGGGTCGGGTCGGGTCCGTTACAGAATTTGTCATAAATTTCGGTGAGGAATTAAGACTATAGCTTCACTTTTTTTATGGACTGTCTAGCTTTTGATACAATAACCATAGCAGATAATTCAGTCGATTATGAGGTTTCAACTTTCAATATGACTCTTATAATATTAGTTTTATTTTTGAACTGGATTATAAAAAAATAAGTAATACAATATAATATTTCTTTCGATATTTCTAACGAGTGCTCATAGACACTTGTTAGAGAATGAGCGAGATAGACAAAAATGAAAGACAAGCGGGTCCATTTTGATTTGTACTAATTTTTCTCATTATCTCTACCCTCTCTCATCTCTTAACGAGTGCCTAATAACACCCATTAAACTTTTATCCTCTATAAACAGGCGCGGATTAATTATCAATTTTTAAGATAAAATGAATTTTAGTTTCTGATCATCGCACTGTATTTATCCTTCACTATATTTGATGATGTGTATATTTGCACTCTTACGTGTAAGTTTTGCTAATTCAGCTCTTGAGAGGTATTAGTCACTTTTGTTTTCTTTGAAATGGATTGAATTTACATGAAAATCATTAACCGTCAAGACGTTAGATTTGTATTGCAATATTATTTATCTTTAAGCTATTAAGACTTTTAAAAAATTATAATAGTGTTTAAGATTTGGGATTGGATACTTACACCTTCAAATAAATGTCGGATGCTTGTAAAACTAATGATTACTTTTGTAGCAATCTC